GTATGTCTGAGGGAAAAGGAGAGAGAGACGAAGACAGAGGAGAGAGAGAAAGAGAGAGAGAGAGAGAGAGAGAAAGAGAGAGAGAGAGAGAGAGAGAGAGAGAGAGAGAGAACAAGGCATCCAGTCTCTTGAAGATGTTAAAACCAGACTGCTCTTGTTTTCTAGATACACCTCATTTGTGCAGCTCACTCTGGAAATTACAATAGGTTCCACCCCTCTGCTAGGTGGAATCACATTGTCAATTCAATGTGACAAGATCAGAGAACAAGGCATAGCTTGCTGTGCTTGAGAAAGCATGGTGTTCTCTTTCACTCCCAAAAATATCAAAGTGTTCAATAAAAGCTACAGGGTGATATATCTTTCCAAGTGGCTCTGGAACATTTTGTTTGTGGAAACAGCATCTTCTAGTGTCAATAATATCTAGGCATTTCCTAATGGAGGTTGCCACCAAACTTTCCTGTTTCAATTCCAGAACCCTTTTGAATATCCAACTCTGGAAGAGCATTTGTTTCTTTTGTCCCTCCTCAGGCCCACAACTCTACAAGGAATGGGGTGGCTGGTCATAGACTGGACTGGAGTTTTCTACCTGCTTCCTGTTTCTCAGCTTCTAGAAGAGTTAAGTGTCTCCTTGCAGGAAAAACAAAAAAGAAAGAATGGGAGGGGCAGCAAAATGTAAGGCGGAAAAAATACCTTTTCAAGTGCTGCCCTGTAGAGTTAGTGTACTGAACTCCAGCTCCCCAAATACTAAGCAGTATAGTGGTCATTGGGGACTATGGAAACTATAGTTCAACTTCTCTGAAAGATATCAGGTCAGAAAAAAAAGACTTTCTGCTAAGTCTTTGCTTCTTTTCCCCTCACAAATTTTACTTTTCTATGAATATATAAAGCTGCTTCCTGCATCAAGCTTAAATGATCATAAGGTTTGTTTTGCAAATCCAGTTGTTTTATATAAACCATGGTTTATGGTAAAGCATGCTGCATGAACCAGCCAATTGTGTTTTATTAAAAACATATTTGAACAACCATAGTATATAAACCTGGCTGGAGTCTGAAAGCTGCTTCTGCCAACCCAGGGTTGGATAGAGCATTAGACAAAGATCCTTCCACTTCTGTTACCTAAAATCTTTTAAAGTAGGAATCTTTTGCAGACAGTGCAAATGCTCTATCACAGTGGGTTTTTTTTCAACTTTGGCAACTTTAAGTTATGCTGATTTCAACTCTCAGAAATCCCTAGTCAGATGTCCTTTATTCCAGACACAATGCATTACAAAACTTTCATCAAATAAGCACTTGCCCCACAATTATGGCCTGCTCTGTAGTAATAAGCAAATCTTTTTTTTAAATTGTGTTTCTGGTAACTTGGGATTCCTCACTGAGTAATTATTAAGCACAGTGCATCTACAGGAGTTTCAGAAAGGAATGTGGCTTTAAATTGTACTGAGCCAGAACAATAGACAGCTTGTGAATGAAGTGATGATAAGAGTTTCAAGTGTTATGATTTACTTACACAGGAGAGCCCGGCTGGTATAGTGGTTAAGGTATGAGACCAGAAACTGGAACTGTGAGTTATGGTCCCAGCTGAGGCATGAAGCCAGCTGGGTGACTTTAAGCCAGTTACTTTCTTTTTCATCCTTGCAAAAAAGGCAGTGATAAACCACATTTAGAATATTGGCAATTAAACTACATGGACCTGTCCAGGCAGTCACCAAGACTAAATGAAAGGTAGGCTCTCCATTAAAAAAGAAGAGGAAGCAGAAAAAGAACAAGTTTGGAAACACCTTTATTTTTCTTTAATATAGTTATTCCACTTTAGCTATTGAATTGGCAGCATTTCTTTACAAAACTATTTCCACTATTAATTGAAATCTGAAAGTTGAATTTCAATGCATCAAAATATTTTCCTGCATTTGGGAGATCCTTCAGTCACTTCATGGCTTGATTACAGCAATGCAGTAATCATGGGGCTGACCACTTGGAAGCTTCATCTGGTCTAGAAAGCAGCAGTGCAGGCAGTGTTGGATGTGCTTTGGTATGCTCACGTGACATCCCTGCTTTGTGAGCTGCATTGGTGGCCCATATGCCTTTGAGTGCAATCCAAGGTGTTAGTCATGACCTATAAAGCCCTACGCGGCACAGTGCTTCCTTACTTGAGGGACTGGCTATCTCACCAGGTGTTGGCCTGGCCAGTTGGATTCAATAGGATTAATGTACTCGGCATTCATTTGATCAATGAAATTGATACCGTCTATCACAGGGTGTCAAACTGCTGGCCCATGGGCTGAGTGCATCATAGCAAAACCGCGCCCAACCCATTGCTGGCAATGGCAAAAAGTTGTGATATGTCACGACACGTCACGTGATGTTGCGAGTTTGGCACCCTTGATCTATCAGGACACCGAAATACTTGCACTCTGGAATGAAGTTCCCCAGGAAATCTGTGCAGCTCCAACTATGTCGGAATTCCACAAGACTTTAAAGACTTAGCTGTTCTGCCATGCCTTGAGCTGAGGTGGTTGAGGGGTGACCTTTGGAGATGTTTGTGTAGGCATTGCTATCCTGTTCTCTTTTTAAAAACAAAAACAAAAACCTGAATTTGTCTTTATTGTGAGCTACCCAGAGTTAGCCACCCAGAAGTTAGACAATGCCTGAACTGAACTTTATTAAAGCTTAAAACATAATCTAGATTTTTACAAATATTGAGATCTAAATTACTTTCAGGAGTACTTGCCATAGTTCTTTCCTATTGTTCTATTTCAAAGGGCTATTTATAATATAATTCAGTCTGCCTTCACTACAAATGCTTTGCAGAATAAATCTGTTCAACCAGATGGAAACATCATCTCGACTTGGAACAAAACTAGCAGTAAGATCAGCCTTGTAGACAGTCTTGCCTGAAGAGCAGCTGGCCATCATCAAGTTTCCTTGCAATTCTCAAACTACAGGTCTGGGTCACCTTCCTTAGTTCAAGAGGCCTAACCAATACCCTGCTCCAAAGCACCACCAGGAGCATGCTGGAGTGCTGTGATATGCAGAGAAACTAATAAAGAACTGATTCTCTAGAACCATAATGCTCGAACCCTCGTGCACATATAGCTTCCTTTCTTTTGTAACTTTCAGTATGGATAGTCAGAAGGACTAAGGAGATGCTAGGGACCATACATGGGTTTGAAATGGACTGCAGCCACTTTGTGGAGGCCAACAGGAAGCATGCTGGCAAGCCACTGAAGGAGTGACCTGAGGTCTAAAGCTGAGCATGGCTTGGTTTTCCTGCCAGCTGGATATGAGGTGATCTACAGTTGGGAATATTAGGCAAGGTTCACTGTCATCTATTAACAGAGCGTGGCTGGTTGCAGGACTGCCAGCTTTGTGAGGTGCAGGTTTACCTGAGACTTAGAGGACTTTCTCTTGCCCCATTGGTACCAAGTCTGGACATTTGGCCAGGGTAGTATTTAACTCTTTGGCTGCTTTTGTCCAGTGGGGTGGACAGTGAAGAGGTTGCTGAAAAGGAGCTGGAGACTTCAGGTGATATGGGAGCACTGCCAGGCTGGGTGGAGACATCTGTGGATCTGTTTCCTCCTGCTTGAAACCATACTGGTGCTGGAAAGTTGCTCTCTGTGTTGCAGTTGGATACTTACCTGTTGGTTTTGCCCTTGGGACTCGGGTAGTGGACACTTTGCAACACTGCCAATGTTTTAATTTTTGTCTAATTATGGGTGCTGCTTCTCACCCATAAAGCTTTTCATGGCATAGGGCCTGATTGTTTGAGCAACCAATTGTCTCCAGTTATTTCTGATCATCCAGCGAGACTGGACAAAGTGGATGTACTTCAAGTCCTATTAAGTAATTAAGCAGCGTGCCTTCTCTGTGCGAGAGGTATATTTTGTCTTTGGAACACTTATGAATTCCTTGGTTTGGGTTTCCCCCCCCACACACACAGACACCTTTAATTGTAAGATGCCCAGAATAATTGGGAAATATGTGGCCTATAAACTGTATGAATAAACAAACAATAATCAAGCTACTGATGCTGGTATTCAAGCCCATTTTAATTTTATTAGCTGCCTTGATTCCTTTGTCAATGCAAAAAGTGAAGATAAGTTATTTAAAAAAATAGATTAAATACGTATTTGAAACACATGCTATATATTTGGTATATCTTTAATATTACAATTTGACAGAATGCGAAATGTCCCCTATCATTTGTATAATGCCGTTTCTCATTTTAGTGAGCAAAATAATTACCCAAAGGTGTCGTTAGTTGAATGTACGTTCCAAGACTCAGAAATTATTTCTTTCCCTCTTCCCTCTTTAGAGTTTAGAATTAAATTGTGGCAGAGTGGAGGACAATTCTGAACATACAGTATTCAAACCGGAGAGCCACAACTAAGTAGTGATGTAAAATCCCACATAAAAACCCAGGTTTAGAGTTATTTAAAGCTACTTTTCCCAATCCTAGTCTTTTTGGGTTTCTGTATGCCAGTGCCATCGCCCGCGTTATGCTTACAGATTATGGAAGGTTTGGGATTATAAAACCTATCATTCCCAGGGTATTCTCCAAGAAAGGACCCAGAGTTTGGGGAATCCAATATCTAACAGTCTTGGAGACCTCCATATCCTTCACAGCATCCTCCCTTGTGGAAATGATAGGGGGTTGTAATCACAGAAAGTACCAAGCTGCTAAAAAAACTTAAAATTGACTGCTTCCCATCTTGAATTTACAGATCACTCTTGCTTTCTATAAAGCTGTAAGCTCCACCCACTACTGATAACAATCCTGCTACTGTTTCCTTAATTGCAAGATAAAAGACAGGTGAGTCAAGAACATAGTCAGTTATGTACATGGTTGTTCAATCCTGTCTGCTTTTTTCTAAAACACACTTTCCACATCCATCAAATTAGGGGTCAAAATGAGTTCAGGGGTATTATCATATGATGAACATCATCTCTGCACCACAAAGATAAACTGGTTTTAGCTCCTTTTCCCAGAGAAATCAGATTTGTTTTAGATTTATAGCCAGTTTTATTACACAGAATTTAAGTTTATTAATTTTACTTAATAAACTTATCAAGTAAACTTTTACTTCTTTACTTCTCATGTTCTGGCATGCTTCTAATTATGTCAAAGTCACCTGGGTCAATTATAGCAAGTGTACATACTCTGTAATACTTCCCACAAGTTGTTCCCAGTTCAATATTGTTGCCACTGTAGTTATGCACAACAGTTTTGGCATAGAACTCAATTTCTGACTTTCTCGAAGCAGCACAGTTATTGGTTAGGATAACATATACTAGTTTGTTTATATCCAAGTACATATTTACCTTATTTCGTAACCAGCTGGAGTCTTGAATTTATCGATTCTAAAGACATCTTTATCTTTTTGGTGGCCACCATCTCGGCCCTGCCGTTGCCAGAGGAACGCTTCCAAGTTGGCCAGTCAATGAAAAAAGGCCCAGGAAAGTCAGAATTGATGTCAGAAGGGGAAAAAGTGTTTGCTACAGAAGTGGAAGGGTAGTATTTCTAGAACCAGGATTTTTGAAAAGATGGAAAATAGTAGCAGCTTGAATTGGTTTAAAAAAAAAAGCTTACATTTCAGTAACTCTTCACTAGCACATATATACCACAGAGATTTATGAACACCATATGAATGTACCTAACTGACCTTTCTGTGTAAGTGCATGATACTTATAGTTGCCCATTTAGATTAGAACATACAGTACGCCTTCCAGTTTAGAAAGAGATGCACCTACAAGTCCCCAACCTGCATCTCACCATCAATGTTCAGGCTTTCATAGATGTGCTCAAAACATTTTTCTGGAATGGGTGGGGGTTCTTCCTCTTCTTGTTTCTTAGGCTCATCATGATTTTCAGGTTGCGCTGACTGAAGTGCTTTGGTACGCTTGCACACTCGAGCATACATGGCACTTAGTCTCCTTGAGTCAGACTCAAGCTGAGCCTGAGGGGCCTCTTTCTCAGGTGCCATGTCCTGCAACTGGCCATATGACTCCTGGCATGTTTCAGCTGGAGACAATTGCGCATGCATGTTGTTGGATCCTGCAGCTTCAGAATCTTTCCCACCAAGCTCCACAGGCCCTGCTCCAAATCTTAGTGTCGTGGCACAGATCGAATTATTATTAGCTGCCATCTGACAGCCTGTCCTTCCTTCCAACCAATCCTTGCTATATAATTCCTGTTCTTTAGTACCAATGCTTTCATAAACTTGGTTGTCTGGGTTCTGAGTCAATGGTAACATTCTAGACAGGCAGGCCTCTTTAGGAGTCACTGGGAGTTTTCTGAACTGCAGCGGGCTTGGGGATGGTTTGTTGGAACTTGGTGCTGGTGGATTCAAGTCTCTTTGATGATTCATGTTCAGTTTCTCCATCCTTTGTTGGCTTGAGTTAACTACCTGTGTGTATTTTGGAGAGTCTGCATTTCCTTGCTGAAGCTCTGAAGAAAATCCATTTGATTGCTGCTTTGCTTGGTGACTAGGCAAAGTGTTACCTGTACAGAAAAATATTACTTTAATTATACATTGCTTGAGATGCTTTTACAAGAGATGGGTTAGGCAATTTAATACACATTAGAAGTGCACTGTCCTTTGTCCCCAAGGATCGATCTCTCCTGCAACAAACACACTCAGCAGACATGTGCAGGTTGGCTCTGATAAACACATTCAAGAGACCAGCACAAAATGAATAAAATCTTGTTGAGCCATCAAGTAGGATGAGCTTCAGAATAGTCCTGCTGCCCATGGACGAAAGATGTGGCACGGGCAAAGTAAAAGGAGGGAGCAATAAAATGGATGAGAACCGACTTCCTACTATAAAGTGTCAGCAAGCTGTAATTTCTAAGAGCATCTTTCAAAAGATGGCTAATCCCTGAGTATAAGATTTAGATTTTTATGCTTAGAGTGAGTTGGGAAGGTTTACTGTATATGAATTCTGTTGGAGAACTGGATAGAGAAGGGGAATGTGGACAGATGTAGACTATGTTGATAGGCTGATGATACATGAGAAAAGAATGCAATGCTTTGGAACAGCGGTTCTCAACCTATGGGTCGTGACCCCATTTGGGGTCGATCGACCATTTCACGGGGGTCACCAAGCAAGGCTGTCCGCCATTTTTTTCCCCTTTTCCAGCGGGTGCCTTACCTCCCTTGAGCTGGGCCAGCTGGTGGTCGGCCTGCTCCGTCTCTGCCGCTTGCCAGCTACGCCTCGGCCAGCGCAGGGGCAGAACCACGCATGCGTGGCGCTCCCAGGCGGGGAAAGTCCTCGACTTACGACCGGTTGGGTAGTCCTCGACTTACGACCGGTTTAGTCCTCGACTTACGACCGGTTGGGGGTCGCGGCATTAAAAAGGTTGAGAACCACTGCTTTGGAAGAAGGAAGCTGTAAGTAGATATTAGAGGTTGGCAGAAAGAGCTTGAAATTGTACCAGGATGGAAATTATATTATTACAACATTGCCTATCAATGCCACCAGAGGAGTAAGACAGGAGTAGATGCAGCACGATCAATGGTTAGAGATAGATATAGAAATAGCCACCAACTGTGCTTTTATTTTTATTTTGTTCTGTTAAATCTTGTCTACATTCTTATCATACTATTTTATGTAATTATTTTGGGGTTATTTAAATGTGTTTTATATGTTTATTTTAAGAAAGAAATTACCAGGAATTTATGGAGATTATAATACCGAAACAAATAAACAAATAAGTAATCTTTGAACCAATACCAATCTTCCTCTTTCTATGTCACTTAAATATTTAGCTAACCTATCAAGATTAGATATAGACATTTTGACTTTCTGTTAAGGCACCTATAAACACCTAGCAATGCATGGGGCGGTATGTCCAATGACCCTTAAGGGGGAAAAGCACCAAAACAGGAGAGCAGTTGTAATGAGCATCAACGGGGGAACTGAGGTAGAGAACAAAACATGTCAAAACCCCCCCCCCCCATCCTTGAGAGGGGTCTTCTCTACGTTCTGTGCCAGTTAACACATGCTTCGGGAGGCATGCAAAAGAATTAGCACAGGCCGGAATCTGGGCACCTTTTGTAGGTTGTCAATTGCAGAGGCCAAGCACATTTGGCTGAATGCCAACACTTGTAATGAGTTTGTTCCTTTTGTTAAGTACTTAAGCGAAAGAGCAGGTTTCAACACTGTCTGCAGAAGCTGTCAAGAGACTTGCTGAGCAGGTTTCCTCTCCTAAAGATAAAATAACTAAGAGCATTTGTGTCTAGCAGGCTGGCCTTGAACCAGTAAGACTTTAAAGGCGGTTCCTGTATTCCTACACCCCTCCCTCCCAACCTTACAGCAGCTGGCCTGGGGTGGTGAGTGGGGGATGGAAGAGGGAAATAATGCAATGGGGAAACTTAACCCTCTGATCCAGTCCAGCAGCTCCGATAAAAATCAGAATTTGACGTTTCCTTCAAGTGAACAGAACATTTGGGAAGATTCTACCGTGCCTCACTTTTGCTGGAAGAGTATCTTGGTGTTTTCTCTTTCCTAGTAATATTGTCCTTTGTTTTTTACATGTGAAACAGTGAAAACTTAAAAGCATAGTAAAACTCTTCTACTGCCATTCTGTCTCTAGTTACCAAACAAACGCAACACTTAGATTTCACGCACACACCTCAGTACATTAAAGGCGGCAAACATTTCTATACATTTCTCTCTGCAAACGTTTCTCCACAAACATCAGAAAGGTCCGTCTTCCCAAACTGGTAAAACTATTATGGGAGGTGAAGCAGGATAACTCAGTAGCTATCTGCACAGATATCTTAAACAGATATCTTAAACAGTAAGATAAAAACATTAATATGTTTATTTATGGCTTTTTTTAAAAAAAAAAAGGTGGCTTTTTAATGAAAAGTGTCCTAAAAACAGATACTGTGGCAAAATGTCATTATCAGAAATCACTCTTCATGCAGCAACTGAGATTTTACAAAATGCTGTTTTATTTTTTAATAAGAATACAAGTATATTACTTATATGTCACCCAACTTTTTTAATAATTTTATTAAAAGTTTTATGAAAGAACATTAAAAACTAATACAAACTTATATAAAGAAAGAAAAAAAATCAAAGAGAAAGTTAAAAGTGCAAGCTAAAAGCAAAATAGAAAGAAAAAAAGATACTGTGGCTTCTGATCTTCTTTAGAGCACTTATAAGTGCAATTATAAATTTACCTCTTTCTATAGTGTTACAACGTCTCTCTTCTTTCTATAATCTATCCTATCTAATCATAAAAACCATAAATCACAAGCTCTTTTTTTCTGTTTTAAACATAAAGTCCATAAGAAGTTTCCACTCAGCAATAAATGTGGATATTGTCTTTTCTCTAATCAAATAAATCAATTTGGCCATCTCAGTGAATTTCATCTTCACCAACCATTCCTTCATTATATGTATTGCCAAATCTTTCCCTCTTTGTGCATACAATAATCTTGCTGCAGTTATCATATACCAAAACAAAGTTCGAAGATTTTTTCCAACTGTTTGCCCATCAATCCCAAAAGAATGACCCCTGGTCTCAATTGTATATTAATCTTTAAAATCTTCTGAATATATGCATTTGAATCCAGAATTTTTTTAAAAATTTTTACACATCCACCAAGCATGGTACAATGTCCCTTCTTGTTGTTCACATTTCCAACATGTATTTGAAATGCCTTTATATATTCTTGGAGTTTCTAGAGTACATATAGGCCAACTCTCAATGACTCTGGGAGGCAATAACAATCAAAGAAATTATAATAAAATTACTAACCATAAAGATCAAAGATAAAAGATGGCAAATATCATGAAGTGAGGGATCTCATGCTCCCACACTGAATGCTTGGGTAAAGAGCCAGGTCTTCACGGCTCTTCTACACAACAGGTGGGGCCCATCTTGAGAGAGGCCTCAATTCAGAGGATAGGGGCTGCTTCAGAGAAGCCTGTAGCACCTCCAATCCACACAGCACAAATACAACATTAATAATGTCCAACAACTTCCTAATAGCAAATCTGTCTTTTATTCATTTTTAGTACAGGAAGCTTTTAGATCAGGGGTCCCCAATCCTCGGGCCGTGGCCCACTACTGACCGTGCCCTATTCAGAACCAGGCTGTGTAGATGGTGGTGTGCACATGTGCACACAGCTCAACTCACACAAGTTGAGTTGCATGTGCATGTGTATGCGCTGGGCCGCCACTCACGCGTCCCGGTTCCCCTATCTTCTCCCCGGGCTGTCAAGCCGCAAAAGTTAAGGACCTCTGTTCTAGAAGTTTATGTGACACTTTGATGGATTTAGCAAATAGACTAAAAAAAATATTTAACTTTGAGATTTACAGGTTTATTAATCAGGGTACCTCACCCCACTATAGACACACCTTTTCTTAAAGTAAGACTTGGAAAGTCAATTCAAACTTTATACTTGAATGTCTTTTGTTGTCAGCTCTACTTAGTAGACCAGACCGGTAATCAACTCTACATGAAGCTAAGCTACTTTTATTGAGATTGGCTATAATAACAGAATTTTGAAAGTCTGACTGGCTTTACTTCCTTCTCCTTCTTACACTCCAGTGAAGCAAGAAGGCATGTAACTTGTTTATTTATTTATTTATTATTTAAATTTATATACCGCCCTATCTCCCTTACGGGACTCAGGGCGGTGAACAGGCAATAATAAAAATCACAATAAATATTGAATAAAAGCCTGCTCTAAAATACTCCATATAAAACCCCTAGCAAAGCCCAATCAAAACTACGCCAGGCCGGCCGCATGGAATAGATGGGTTTTCAAGGCTCGGCGGAAGAGCTGTGGCCTTAAAAAAAAAGTTTCAAACCCTTTTGCCTAGGTAATGATTCTACACATTTCTGTCATCTTTCTTAGTTTCTTTTTTTCTTCATTTTGTTTCATTTGTGGATATAGACTCCTCTCTCTCCTCCAAATCCAATTTCTTACTTGACTGGGAAAGATTTGTTTTCTCTGGGCTGCTTTCCATGCACAAATATAGGACATCATGCAAACAAACCAAAGCCAAAAGTCATTTTCCCACTTGGGTTTTGTGTTTATTTCTAAAATATATAATGGGCTTAGCTGAACAAACTAGACAGGCATTTCAGAATGGAGCTCTTGATAGCTTAACTTCTCCTGATTCATGTGGGTCTAACACTATCTTTGATATGCTCATTTCAAATTTGGCAGCTTCAATAGCAGTAGCACTTACACTTATATACCGCTTCATAGTGCTTTACTGCCCTCTCTAAGCAGTTTACAAAGTCAGCATATTGCCCCCCAACAATCTGGGTCCTCATTTTACCAACCTCAGAAGAATGGAAGGCTGAGTCAACCTTGAGCCGGTGAGACTTGAACTACCGAACTGCTGGCAGCTAGCAGTCAGCAGAACTAGCCTGCGGTACTGCTTTCTAACCACTGCGCGACCACGGCTCTTTGCTTCTCAAGCCTGCTTTTAAGGAGGAAGAAAACATAACTCTTTCCTGGGTTCCTTGGAAT